GTTGAGGAGAGAGGAAGTCAGAGAGGTCGGGGGGTGCGGAGGAGTGGAGGGACTTGAATACGAGGGTGAGGGTCTTGAAGTGGATCTCTCTGGGACAGGAGCCGGTGCAGTCCGGCCAGGACTGGGGGGATGAACCCTCACCCCCCTCCCCGGCCTCCCCATGCCCCCCCCTGACTTCCCGCCTCCTCACGCCCCTCCCCCTGGCAACTCCTTCCCCAACCCCCCACCACCCCCCTCCCATCCCTGGCCCCCTCCCCCCAGCAACGCCCCCCAGCCCCCGGGTGTGTAGCCGCCGGCCACACGGCAGGTCAGTGGGGGCTCAGCCCAGTGGCTGACCCTGTGGTGTCTGTGTTTCAGGAGCGACAGCGGTGACGATGGGGGAGGAACAGAAGGAAACCTGCGGCACCATCTGCCTCAAGTACCTGCTCTTCATCTTCAACTTCTTCTTCTGGGTAAGGCCCCCCCCCCCCGCAACCAGCTCCCCCACCCCCCTGCCCCACCCCACCCCCCACAACCAGCCCCCCCCACCCCGCAACCAACCCCCCCGCACCAACCCCCCCCGCAACCAGCCCCCCCACAACCCACCCCACCCCCGCAACCAGCCCCCCCCCGCAACCAACCCCCCCCCGCAACCAACCCCCCCCACAACCAGCCCCCACCAACCAGCCCCCACCCACCCCGCAACCAGCCCCCCCAACCCGCACCCCACCCCCCCCTGCAACCAACCCCCCCGCAACCAGCCCCCCCCACCCGCAACCAGCCCCCCCCGCAACCAGACAGTACCCATTGCCTTCGCTCCTCCGGGTCTGACCTCCTCCTCATCCCCCGAGACCTCCGCCCCCCCTCGAGGGCTGTGCCCTCAGCCACTACCCCCCGAGGCTCTGGAACTGCCTTCCTCACACCCCCTCTCTTCCCATTTTCAGGTCTCGGCTGAAGACCTTTCTTTTCGACCGCACCATTTGGTCACCTTCCCCCCCCTCCCTCCTCCCCCCCCCTCCCCCCTCCACCCCTCACCCCCTCCTCCCCCACCCCCTCCTTTCCCCCTCCCTCCTCCCCCCCCCCTCCTTCCCCTCCCTCCTTTCCCCCCCCCCCTCCTTCCCCCCCTCCTCCTACCCCCTCCCCCCCCCTCCTTCCCCCTCCTCGCTACACCCCCCCCCCCCCTCCTTCCCCCTCCTCCTCCCCCTCCTTCCCCCCTCCTCCTCCCCCTCCCCCCCCTCCTCCCCCCTCCCCTCCCCCTCCCCACCCCCTCCTTCCCCCCCCCTCCTCCTCCCCCTCCCCCCCTCCTTCCCCCCTCCTCGCTACACCCCCCCCCTCCTTCCCCCCCCCACCCCCTCCCCGGCTCGGCCCTGGGATCCGTTACTGTGAAGTGCTCTGAGACACCGTCCGGCGTGGAGGGCACTATATAAACCCAAGTTGTTGTTGAGGGGGTGTGGGGGGGGTGGTGGGGGTGTGGGGGTGTGGGTGTGGGGGGTGTCGGGGTTTGGGGGGTCGGGTGTGGGGTCGGGGCTGAGACCAGACTCGGGGGGAAGGGCGTCACTCGGGCGGTGTCGGGGCTGAGAGTCTCAGCAGATAGAGAGTTGGGGCCCAAGCGCGGGACTGGAGCTCAGGGCCGGGACTCGGGGCTCAGGGCCGGGGGGTGGGGGTCGGGGCTCAGGGCCGGGGGTGGGGGTCGGGGCTCAGGGCCGGGGGTGGGGGCTCAGGGCCGGGGTGGGGGTCGGGGCTCAGGGCCGGGGTGGGGGTCGGGGCTCAGGGCCGGGGGTGGGGGCTCAGGGCCGGGGGTGGGGGCTCAGGGCCGGGGTGGGGGTCGGGGCTCAGGGCCGGGGTCGGGGCTCAGGGCCGGGGGTGGGGGTCGGGGCTTTGTTGCTGTTACTCACCGCTTCAACACAGACACTGAGAGAGAGAGACTCCCGAAAACACTGAGAGAGACTGAGACTGACAGACAGACTCCGCCCCCCCTCCTGGCCCCGCCCTCCGCCCCTCCTGGCCCCGCCCTCCGCCCTCCTGGCCCCGCCCTCCGCCCCTCCTGGCCCCGCCCTCCGCCCCTCCTGGCCCCGCCTCGGCCCGGCTGTAAAGTGTAGTGACTGTGTAGTTTGTGGGCGAAACGCGGCAGCGAGAACTGTGCCCCGCGACGTCCCCACAAACAGCCGGTGGGGGGGGGGGAGTGACCACATTATTACCCCCAGAAATGCCGTCCCCCAAATCAAATAATAATAATAATAATCCTCGCATTTGATATAGCGCTTTTCACGTTGGGAGGACGTCCCAAAGCGCTTCACAGAACACACTGTAAAGTGAATTGACTGTATATTTGTGGGCGAACGCGGCAGCCAATTGCGCACAGCAATGCCCACAAACAGTCATAGATTGAAAATGACCAATTTATTATTGTTTTGGTTTTGGAGGGATTATTATTAGGCTCTGTGTGGAGTAAGGAAACTTGCCCAAGGTTTCGCCCTCTGCCTGGAATTGAACTCAGGTCTCTCGCTTGCAAAGCGAGTGCTCTAACCACTGAGCTACAGGACTCCAACAACCGGGTTCCTACTGACTGCTGAGTAAACAGTGTGTGTGTGTGTGGATGTGGGTGTGGGTGTGTGGGGGTGTGTGTGTGGGTGTGGGGGTGTGGGTGGGGTGGGGTGGGGGTGTGGAGGGGGTATGTGTGTGGGGGGGGGGGTGTGGGGTTGTGTGTGTGGGTCTGTGGGTGGTGTGTGGTGGTGTGGGTGTGTGTGTGTGGGTGTGTGTGTGGGGGGCGGTGTGGGTGTGGGTGTGTGGGTGTGTGTGTGGGGTGTGGGGGTGTGTGGTGGGGGTGTGTGGGGGTGGGGGGGGTGTGGGTTGTGTGTGTGGGTCTGTGGGTGTGTGTGTGGGTGGGTGTGGGTGTGTGTGTGTGGGTGTGTGTGTGGGGGTGTGTGTGTGGGGGGGTGTGGTGTGTGGGGTGTGTGTGGGGGGGTGTGGGGTGTGTGTGTGGGGGTGCGTGTGTGGGGGGTTGTGTGGGGTTGTGTGTGTGGGTCTGTGGGTGTGTGTGTGGGTGTGTGGGTGTGGGTGTGTGGGGGTGTGGGGGTGTGGGGGGGTGTGGGTGTGTGTGTGTGTGGGTGTGTGTGTGGCGGGGGGGTGTGGGGGGGTGTGGGTGTGTGTGTGTGGGGGGGGGGTGTGGGGTTGTGTGTGTGGGTGTGTGTGTGGGGGGAGGTGTGGGCTTGTGTGTGTGGGTGTGTGTGTGGGGGGGGGTGTGGGGTTGTGTGTGTGGGTGTGTGTGGAATAGGGAAACTTGCCCAACCCGGGTCCTCTCGCTTGTCAGGCGAGTGCTCTAACCACTGAGCTACAGGACTCCACAGATAGGGAGAGATTGAGGCAGTCTGTCCGCGCTGGTCAGTTGGTCCGAGCTGGACAGGCGAAGGGAAAGTTTACCAGACAGCGCTCTCGATGGCAGGCAATGTGGGTTGAGCTGGTTAGACTCCAGCAGTTCCCACAGCGCCCGCACACTCTGGGGTCCCCAAGCCTTGGCTCTGGCCAACCCGCCCCTGAGACTCAACAATAACAACTGAATTACATTGCTATAGCGCCTTTCACGTCTCTGGAATTGGTTAAGCAGAATGTGTCTCTCCAGGGAGAGCGCGTGTATTCCACTCCAAACATGGGAACGTCTGTATATAGACGGTGTGCCTGGAACTCTTAGGCTGCATCATAGTCATACTTACACAAGGTGACGTGTTTGAGCATGTGTCAGGCACTCAACTGAGCCCAACAAAATCTCCACATCAATCCCAGCAGATGCTCCATTGCTGTTCCCCGCTCCCTCCCCACAAATGTCTTGTTTGTTTCCAGCGGAAATGAGATAGGTTTCTGTTACAAACTAATATCTCGGGATACAATTTATAGTTTGGGAGATGACATGTCAAGCGACTGCCGGGAGGGTGGAAGGTGAACTGGACGGACCGTGGTCTTCTTTCGCCAGCAAATTCTTATTTTCTTACAAATATTTGTGGGAGATTGCTGTGCGCAATTTGAGACGTCGTTCCGATACACCAAATGCAAGCATTATTATTATTATTATTAACACAGCCTTGGATTGTCAGCCTGTGTGTGTGTGTGTGTGTGTGTGTGTCAGTGTGTCCTGGAGCACTGATATCACACTGGCCACGTTTGCGTGTTTAGCTGGAGAACAAAGGGACTTGGTGTTCGTGGAATCGCCCCCCGATGAGGAGAGAACAGCTGATGTTGCTGAACGGCGTGAGTCAGGAAAACAGCGAATTCTTTGTGGTGAGCGCTGGCAGCTGCCAATCTGTGCCCATCTCCAAGCCTTGTCTCGAGAGTCGCAGGGACACTCAGGAGTCAGGCACCTGGTAGACACCTCGAGAGTCCCGAGGGTCTGAGATCTGATCCACAGCAGCTTCTGAGAACCCCCAAGTGTCTCTCTCTTTCAGTCCTGCAGGACATTCCAGGGGACTGGAAAGATTCTCTCTCTCTCTCTCTCTCCCCAAACACAAATGTGATGCCTTGTCAATGCTGAAGTTGTACAAGACTTTGCATGTTTGCAGCGCCCACAGTCAGATATCTCCACGCCCTCACTGTAATTCCAGACCCTCCTCAATATTGTTTTATAGTTAGGCCACAGTTGGAACACTATGTACATTTTTGAGCATAATAATAATCCTTACATTTGACATAGGAACTGGAGTGGGCTATGCAGCCCCTCAAGCCTGTTCGCATCACGGCTGATCTGTACCTCAAATCCAGTTACCTGCTCTTGCCCCACACCCCTTAATACAATACAAAATTACATTTGTACAGCACCTTCCACGTCGCGAGGACGTCCCAAGGCGTTCGACAGTCAAGGATTTGGACCTGAGCTGGAGGTCAGAATTGGAGAGGGTGGAGGGCAGGGAGGGTACAAGGGTGGCCAAAAGCGCGGTCGAAGAGGATGGTATTGAGACCCGCCTTCGAGGAGGCAAGGGAGGGAGCGAGGAGAAGGGACTGTGGGATGGAGTTCCAAAGGGTGACGGCAGAGAGGCTGAAGGCCCGACCACCGATGATGGAGCGGGCCAGCCAGAGGATGTGGAACAGGCAGGAGCCTGCTGAGTGGAGGCAGAGGACAGGTTGATATGGGGTCAGCAGGTTGCAGAGGTAGGAAGGAGCAAGGCCGTGGAGGGTTTGAAGGTGAGGACGAGGATTTTGAACTCTATCCTCCAGGGGATGGGGAGCCAGTGGAGTCGGGTGAGAGTGGGGGTGATGGGGTCACAGAGTCTGGTGCGGGAGAGGAGATGAGTTGCAGAGTACTGGATGCAGCTTGTGGAGGGAAGAGTTGGGAAGGCCGACAACTAGGGAATTGTCATAGTTGACCCTGAAGGTGATGAATGCGTGGATGAGGGTTTTGGCTGCCTAAGGGTAGAAGTAGTAACGGAGTCGGGCGATGTTGTGGAGCTGGGGGAAGGCAGAGCAGGTCATCAACAACAAAATGACATTTATAGAGCGCCTTTCACGTCAGGACGTCCCAAAGCGCTGAACAGTCAGGTGTCGGGGCCCGAGCATGGGGGAGGGGTGATGTAGGGGTGAGGGAAGGCGGAGAGGTGGGAGGGAACCAAAGGCACGGTCGAAGAGAAGGGTCTTGAGACCGGACTTGAAGGAGGCGAGGGAGGAAGCGAGGCGAAGGGACTGTGGGATGGAGTTCCAGAGTGTGGGGTCAGAGAGGCTGAAAGCCCGGCCACCGATGGTAGGGCGGGTCGGGTGGGAGATATGGAGCAGCCAGAGCCCACTGAACGGAGGGAGTGGGCAGGTTGGTAGGGAGTCAGCAGGTCAGAGAGGTAGGAGGGGGCGAGGTCATGGATGGCCTTAAAGGTGATTAAAGGCCTTAAACTCGATCATTTGGGGGATGGGGAGCCAGTGGAGTGGGTCGAGGGTGGGAGTGATGGGGTCACGGAGCCTGGTGCGTGAGAGTACACGAACTGCAGAGTTTTGGATGATCTGCAGCTTGTGAAGGAAAGAGTTGGGAAGGCCGATGAGGAGGGAGTTCCCATAGTCGAGCCTTGATGTGACGAATGCGTGGGTGAGCGTTTCAGCATGGCACGACACAGATGTGGGTTAGAAAGGATAGTTGAGGGTCAAACAAGACACCAAGGTTCTGGACTGGCTCAGTGAGGTGGAGTGTGCAACCATGGATGGAGATGCTGTCAGCGCTGACGGGAGCCAATCAGGAGGACCTCAGTCTTGTTGACGTTCAACTGAAGAAAGTTTGCTCTCATCCAGGACTTGATGTCTGACAGACATTCTGTCAGGACAGCACTGGGTCCTGGAGTCGAGGGTGGAGGCGGAGAGGTAGAGTTGGGTGTCATCCACATACATGCGGATGTTGACCCCATGTCTGCAGATGATGTCACCAAGAGGGAGCATATTGATATTGAAGAGGAGGAGACCGAGGACAGAGCCCTGAGGAACGCCACACGAGATGGTGCGGGGGCTGGAGGAGAAACTGTTTGTGGAGATGAAGCGGAGGCGGTGTGAGAGGTACGATCTGAACCAGTCAAGGACAGAACCATGAAGGTTGAGGTGAGAGGAGGATAGAGTGGCTGACAGTGTTGAAGGCAGCAGAGAGGTTAAGGAAGATGAGGAGGCAGAGGGAGCCCTGGTCTCAGATGGACAGAATGTCATTTGTCACTTTGACCGGGGCTGTTTCTGTGCTGTGGGCGGCACGGAAACCCGATTGGAGAGGTTTGTGAAGGGAGTGACGGGAGAGGAAGGAGTGAAGCTGGGAAGCAACAACTCGTTCCAGGACCTGGAGAGGAAGGAGAGGTTGGAGATGGGGAGGTTATCGAAGAGGAGGGATGGGTCCAGGGAGGGGTTTTTTAAGGATAGGAGTGATGACGGCTGTTTTTAAAGGGGTGGGAACGGTGCCAGTGGACAGAGGGAGGTGGTCAGTTTCATGTAAGTATTGTGGGGGTGAGAGAGGATTGGGAGACAGGTTTGGGGTGCGATAAACAAGGAGAATTTTGAGGGAAAGATTGGAGGGATGATAGAGGGTAAGGTGCTCGAAGGAAGGGAATGAGCCAGAGGAGTAAGGGAATAGGGCAAGTGGGGATTTGGAGATGAGAGCCACACCACCACCACCATGGCGATGAGGTCGTGTGTATGATGGAACATGTAGCTGGGTGGTGTGGCCTCAGTCAGGGGGAAGGTGTCACCTGGGTGATCCATGTTTCTGTAAGGCCAAGGATATCAATGTTTCCATCAACGATGAAGCTTCCTGGAAAGGAAGCAGACATTTTGTAGGGCAATAAAGAGGAGACGGGTTGCAGAGGAATGTGTGAGACGGGGCGGGGGGTGGGGGGTGGCGGGGAGGATTGGCAGGGAAGGGGGGGGAATGTGGATGAGATCTGGGGCTGGTGGGGCTTGCAGTAATAATGGGGGTGGCTGCTGCTGGAAAGTCAATGCTAAGTACCACAGTCAACCCGACAGAGGATTCCCAGACTGGGGCAGAGGGAGGCTGTGGGATGGTCAAGGTGGGATAGAAGGGAGGAGTACAGAGAGAGAGGAGGACAGAGCGAGAGTGAAGCAGGGTAGAGGACAGGAATGGGGGCATTTTGGGGGAAAGCAGCTCGGGTCAGGGCAGCAGCCAAAATGCGGACATGGGTATTGGGGCAAGCAGCCACAGGCATGGAGCTAGCGGGACCTAAAGGAGACAGCGCAGAAGGGCCAGAGGATTCATTGTGAATGCTGACAGGGTGAAGAGAGAGGAAGGGAAGGAGGTAACAAAATATTTTGCCCACAAAATATACAGTCCATTTCCTTTACAGTATATTCTGTGAAGCTCCGAGACATCTCGAAGATGTGATAAGGCGCTATATCAAATGCGAGGCTCGTAAGGATTATTTTAACAATAAAGCTACACTAAACCTGGTGCCAGTAATACAAAAATAAATCCAGAAGTCGCTGGGAACACTCAGCAGGTCAGGGAGCACTGACCCTGCTCCCGCACTTACTATCTCTGTCTTGAAAATATAGCACCTTATTGTGTCATTGAGACATATCAAAGCATTTTGCTTCACAGAGTATACTGTAAAGTGGAGTGACTGTATTCATGGAAGAAACGCATTAGCCAATTGTGTCCCACAAACTGTTGTGGACTGAGTGATACATTTTTTTTTAGGGATTATTTTCCCCCTGGAAAGCAATCCTCCAATCGACTAACAACCAGGTTCCAACTTACTGCTGGGTAATCAGAAGTGTGTGGAGAAGGAAACTTGCCTAAGGTTTCGCTCCACCTGGGAATTGAACTTGGGTCCTCTCACTTGCGAGACGAGCGCTAACCACAGGTCTCCATAGCATATGAAGGATATAAAACCAATGGAAGAGGTGCAGCAAAGATTGATAGAGATGTTACAGAGATGAAGGCTGGAGAGCTTAGAGCTTTTCCCACTGAGAAGGTGAAAGGGGACCTGAGAGACGTCCTACGGAGGTTTCTTTAACAGGTTTAATAGTAACAGATTGTTTTGCCACTGGTCAGTGAGTGAGCAAAGCAGAGGCACAAATTTAAGATAATCACAAAAGGAATTTAAAGGGGCGAAAAGTATGTTTGCACAGAGGGCGGTGAGAATGAGGAATTCCTTGGCATAACTCATACATGAAACAGAGTGCATAAATTCTTTCGCAACGGAATGTTTGAAAAGGAGGAATAGTAAAGGGTTGGCGGAGCGAGGGGGAGAGGGGGAGTCAGATAAGGGGACTCATGTCATTGTGCAGAGAAACACCAGAAAAAGCACAATGGAACAAATGCCTTTGTTGTGTGCAGTAACGTTGTGTGTTTGTACGCGACACTGACGAACCTGACTCTCACCCCATTCACATACTACTCACAGCACAGGCTGCTTCCTGCTAAACTTGCCCATACCCGTGTCTAACTGTTGGAACCCAGTGTGTGGATAGGTCAGCACCCAGGAATTCATGTACATTAGTCAGAGGCTGATTTTATTCGTAATATCTCCAGACATCAGGTATCAGGAGCACTCACATACCATTAACGCACACTCCTCTCCCCGCACATCCTGAGTCACCGGCTCAAACACATTCTCCCTGACCCCACATTCACAGTCTCTAAAGGACGAGTGTGATTAGACCACAACATAAAAAACAGCTCTGATTCTCGGGGTTTTACACAGGAGCAAGGAGGGACTCTTAATAATAATAATAATAATCCTTGCATTTGATATCACACCTGACCCTGTCTTCAACACGTCTCAAAGCGCTTCACAGGACATACTGTAAAGTGAATTGACTGTATATTTGTGGGCAGTTGCTGCAGTAACTGTGCGGTCCTGAGAGTGACAGGCAGCCCGGGAGGGGTTAGTGTGGGTGGGAGGGGTTAGTGTGGGTGGGAGGGGTTAGTGTGGGTGGGAGTGGTTAGTGTGGGTGGGAGGGGTTAGTGTGGGTGGGAGGGGTTAGTGTGGGTGGGAGGGGTTAGTGTGGGTGGGAGGGGTTAGTGTGGGTGGGAGGGGTTAGTGTGGGTGGGCAGGGTTAGTGTGGGTGGGAGGGGTTAGTGTGGGTGGGAGGGGTTAGTGTGGGTGGGCGGGGTTAGTGTGGGTGGGCGGGGTTAGTGTGGGTGGGCGGGGTTAGTGTGGGTGGGAGGGGTTAGTGTGGGTGGGAGGGGTTAGTGTGGGTGGGAGGGGTTAATATGGGTGGGTGGGGTTAGTGTGGGTGGGAGGGGTTGGTGTCAGTGGGCGGGGTCAGTGTGGGTGGGTGGGGTTAGGGCAAAGCTAGGGTAGTGGGGGCAGGGCTGGGGAGGTGGGGGCGGGGGTGGGGGAGTGGGGCGGGGCTGGGGAGGTGGGGGCGGGGCTGGGGGAGTGGGGGCGGGGGTGGGGGGCGGTGCTGGGGGAGTGTATAAATGGGGTTGTGGGGGAGGAATTGTAGTCAGAGAGAAGTGTGAAGACAGAAGGTAAGATGCTGTGTCAGTGCCAACTCCCCCTGCGCCGCCCCCACCACCCGGTGGGCAAGTGGGTGAGAGAGGGGGCAGCGAGAGAAGAGAGATCCCCCTCTCTCAGGTGCCCCCCCAACCCTCCCTCAGGTGCTCCCCCTCTTTCTCTCCGTGCCTCCCCCCGCTCTCTCTCCGTGACACCCTCTATCTGCCCATTTCTCTGCCCTCTCCCTTCTCTCTCTGCTCCCGTCTCTCTCTACATAATGATGTGTTGAAACGCTGCATTGTGTTGAACACAGGGATTATTGTTTTACTATTTCGTCCTTTGTGGTCAAAGAGATCTACGGTTTCAGCTGGTGAGACTCCAGCAGTTACCCCAACGCACATTGGGGTGTCCAAACCGTGGCGCTTGCCAACCTGCACCCAATACTCTCTGGAATTGGGTAAGCAGCGGGCGTTGCTCTGGGAGCGGGACCAGGAATCTTCACTTGTCGATGACATATGTGGAACTCTTGTTGAGTCAATGTAGGACTGATACATCCATAATAACAATAATAATAATAATAATCCTTGCATTTGGTATATAGCACCTTATCACGTCTTCGCAAAGGGCTTCATCGAAATATACTGTGAAGTGAATTGACTGCGTATTTTTGGGGCGAAAGCCGGCAACTAATTGCGCACAACAGTGTCCCACAAACAGTCGTGGATTGAGTGACTATGTGTTTTTTTAACGGATTATTACCCTCGGAAAAGCAACCTGCCAATACACTAACAACCGGGTTCCTACTTACTGCTGGGTAAGAGGCGTGTGGAGTAAGGAAACTTGTGCAAGGTTTTGCCCTGATCCACCGGGGAATCAAACCCAGGTCCTCTCGCTAGCGAGTACTCTAACCACTGAGCTACAGGACTCCACAACAGTGATCTGAACAGCGACTAGTGTCTTACAGCCCATCACGCTGGGTCGTGTCAGTGTGTTAGTGCGTTGGTTCGTCGTGTGTTAGTGCGTTGGTTCGTCATGGGTTCGGGTGCCGAGAATGGGGAAGTGACCATAGACACGGTGGGTCTTCAGGTGGGATTTCAGATAAAGAGAGGGTGGGGGCAGCGGGGCTGAGACGGGGATATCCAGCGGGTGGTACAATCAGTGTAATTGCTGGTCTGTGATCTGTGTCAATGTCACTGATGGAAATCACTGAATTGAATTGAATTGTGAGTTGTGTGAGTGCAGGTCTACCCACTCCAGTGCTGTGTGTCTGATTGGGAGCTGCCTGTCCTCACCGTTTCTCTTCTGTGGAGCTTCCTGGGACAGGCAGAGCAAAGCCCCACCACACAAGAAGACCAAGGAGGTGAAGTCCACAGCTTTCGTGGGGGTGTTAGGAAGGCAGAATGAGGGGGAGGGGGGGGTCTACAGCCTCAGGCTCTGTCCACCTCAAGTTATTCGCTGTTTTTCAGTAACTTCCCATTTCACTCCATTGGAGTCCTGTATCTCAGTGGTTAGAGCAGGGCAAAAAGTTAGACAATTTCCTTAGTCCACACGGCTCTGTTCACACAGCAGTAAGTAGTTGTTAGTCGATTGGCGGATTACCTTCCAGGGGTAATAATCCCTTAAAAATAATAATAATAATTTGGTCACTCAATCCACGACTACTGTGGGACACTAATGTGCGTAATTGGCTGCCGTGTTTCACCCCCAAAATATACAGACAAGTCACTTTACACTCTATATCCTGTGAAGTGGGTTTGGAGAAGTCTCAAAGATGTGATAAGGTGCTATATCAAATGGAAGGATTATTACATTATTATGCTGTTCCTCACCTGTAAGCCGGGCAAGGGGGGGGCAGTTACACAGGGACAATGTGCTTTTGTTGAGTTGGGGATGGTGTGAGGGTGACTCACTCGCTCTGGCACTGCCAGCACACGTGCCACTGAGGTCAGAGGTTCTTTGGCTGTCGTTCAGTTCATTCTATTGTTGATAAGAATGTGTCACAGCCCCCAACCCAGCTCCTCACCCAACCCGCCTGCGGACAGCCCGCTGGGGGGCAATGGGGGGGGGGGGGTGGGTGGGGGGAAGGGGGGCAGGGCTGGGAGAATGTAAAGCCTGCTTGCTTTCTCTCTCCTTTCTCTGTATCTTCTCTCTTTGTGTCAGACAGAGCTATGTTGGCTGTGAAGAGGATGCAGGCTGTGCTGTTGTTGCTGCCCCTGTGCTGGAGTTTAGGTCAGTGTCACCGACAGCTCAGATTCCAGCAGCTTCAGAACCCAGCTCACACTGGGAGGGGGGGTGGGGGGCGGGGGGCTGTGGTCGGGGTGGGGGTGCCCTGCGGGTGGGGGTCCTCAATGTGTGTGTGAGGCTGATAATAATAATCCTTGAATTTTTGAAGGGATTATTATCCCTACAAAGTGATCCACTAATCGACTAACAACCAAGTTCCGACTTACTGCCGGGTAAACAGAGGCGTGTGTGTGGAGCGAGGAAACTTCCCAACATTTCGCCCTTCCCTGGAATCAAACCCAGGTCTCTCGCTTGCGAGGCGAGTGCTCTAACCACTGAGCTACAGGACTCCACATACGCGGTGTGTGTGTGGGGGTGGGGGTGGGGGGGGAGTGTGTGTGGACATCTAATGGTGTCTAATAATCTCCTGATGTGAAAGGTGTTCTGCAAATGTAATTTGTTGATATTTATCCCCTGCCCCAGGGTTCGCTCTCCAGTGCTACAACTGCAGACTTACTGTGAACCGTGGGGTGTGTCCGTGGACAAACTGCAAAGGGAACCAGGACACGTGTCTGAACGTCACCCACCCCTGTACGTATGTGTGCGTGTAACCTGCTCCCATCTGAGTGACCGGGCGGGGGGGTGGGGGGGGGGGCGAGAGAGAGAGAGGGGGAGAGAGCGAGCAGTGAGCTGTACCGCTATCAGTGGCTGTCCTGCGGGGGGAAAGGGGGGGCGAGTGATCTCACTCATTGTCTCTTCCAGTCCTTTCACCAGAAAAGCTTTATGCTCTCGCCTGGCCATGGCGGAGGGAAGGAGGGAGGGAGGGAGGGAGGGAAGGAGGGAGGGAGGGAAGGAGGGAGGGAGGGAGGGAAGGAGGGAGGGAGTGGGGGGAAGTAAGGAGTGGGGGGAAACAGGTGGGTGGAAACCCATCACCATGTTTAAGAGAATCCAAACCAAACTGAGGATCCAGACCTCCCGCCTACACATGGAAATCCCAGCGATAGATTGTTGTAATTGGAATTATTGGAATAGAGATAGGGAGAGGGAGAGAGGGAAGAGGCGGAGGGAGAGAGGGGTGGAGGGAGTGGGAGGTAGGTGGGGATCACCCCTCGGCTGTCCTCGGTGTCTGACTGACACTCTGGTCTGTTGCTCTCCTCTCTGCAGCTGGCCAGCTGTTTCGGCAGTGCTGGAAACGTGAGGAATGTGAACAGGAGTTTATAAGGAAGGCTTTCCGGATGGACTCGGGGATGGAGTTTAACTGTTGCTCCCGGAACCTGTGTAACTCGGGGAGCTGGAGTCGTGCCCCCCCACTGTTGGGGCTGGGGCTGGGGGCTCTGTTGGCCGCTCTGGCCTCCTGGCTCAGCAGCTGAGAGCACAATCCCCGGCCTCGGCACCTGATGGAGTTTGTCTTTGCCGCTGATGTGATGTATAACGCTTGTGGCTTGTGCTGACTTTACACGTGGATTACAGTATGTGTTTAATAAGTGAGCGGCTAGTGTTTGCTCAGTGTTAACCTGTCAAACACCCCCATCACCACCTGACCCACATTGGCTGCTCCTCCGACTGTAGCCTGAAGTACACAACGGTGCTCGGTCAGGGCTGCGTCAGGTCAGGTCAAGGGTTGACCCCAGCATCACAGTAACTAAGCTTGGACACTTGGCTTTGCTTTGTGTAACTTGTCACTTGTCCCGACGTGAAAGGCGCTATACAAATGTAATTTGTTGCTGTTGTTATTGACTCACTGCTGTTTACATTGGCTGGGAACTGGGAGACTGCACTGTCTATGAGAAATCTAACGGTTGAGTTGCTCCGCTGTTCACTGCTGCTTTAATTTACCTCTGGTTATTAATAAAAGTTAATTTTATGAATACAGAATTGTTATTTTATCTTGATTTTCTCTCTCGGTCGGGCTGGGGGTGGGGTGGGTTGGGGGATGTGGGGTTGGGAGGTGTGGGGCTGATGTGGTGGGGTGCGGTTGGGGGGTGTGGGTGGGTTGGGGGGTGTGAGGTAGGGGGCTTGTGGGGTGGGTTGGGGTCTGTGGGGTGTGTGGGGGATGTGGTGGGGTGGGGGTGGTTTGGGGGTGGACGTGGTGGAGGTGCATTTTGCTTCATTAAAAACAGACTTGAAATGATAAATATGGGGTAGTGTCTCGGAGTCTAACAGTGACGCCTGACACACAGATAAACACAGACAGACACATAAACACACAGACAGAGAGACATAAAACACAAACAGACACACACACGGCTCCCAGCGGGATGGTGAGCATGAGCCCCGGCTAACTTGCCCTCCCCACCCTGGCCCTTCCCTTGCCCACAGCCAAAGCTTCTTCATATGTGGGTTTGTCAATGAGTTTCTCTCAGGAGCAGACACTCGTCCTCACGTCGGCAGTCATTGAACGCTAACTCAGTTCAACAAAACACTGTGATCTGAAGCAACACGACAGGAGCTGTCTTCCTGCCGCAAGAGATCGTTTTGCCCACAAAATATACAGTTACTACACTTTACAGTATATTCTGTGAAGAGTTTTGAGACGACTGTAAGACATGATGAGGCGCTGTATCAAATTGAAGATTATTATTATTATAGACGGGTTTATTCAGTTGTCTATTAACAGAAACTGTACAAAATACTGTTAGCAGCGTGGCCGCTCTTGCTTGGGCTGATGTAGGTTGAGTCTGCCCAGCTCCTCTCGCTCGCTCTCTCTCTCTCTCTCCCCCCGGGGGCAGACACAGACTGTGAGCTCAGCTCCTGGTGTGGATCAGGGCTGTGAGGGCGAGGCCCAGGCTGAGGCCTAGACTGAGCGGCTGGGGGTCCGGAACTGCAGGGGCCCCGTCACCGATGTTGCACAGGTCCCAGGAGCAGCAGGAGAAGGTGTACATGGAGACACCGAAGGTCTTGTGGATGGCGGCCGCGTTGCACTTATGGCTCTCCCAACAGCCTTGGTACAGCTTCCCCAGCGCTGCAAAACAGGACCACCATCACCAGCCCCCGGCCCCCAACCATCACCAGCCCCCGGCCCCCAACCATCACCAGCCCCCGGCCCCCAACCATCACCAGCCCCCGGCCCCCAACCATCACCAGCCCCCGGCCCCAACCATCACCAGCCCCGGCCCCAACCATCACCAGCCCCCGGCCCCCAACCATCACCAGCCCCCGGCCCCAACCATCACCGGCCCCCAACCATCACCAGCCCCCGGCCCCAACCATCACCAGCCCCCGGCCCCCAACCATCACCAGCCCCCGGCCCCCAACCATCACCAGCCCCGGCCCCAACCATCACCAGCCCCCGGCCCCCAACCATCACCAGCCCCCGGCCCCCAACCATCACCAGCCCCCGGCCCCAACCATCACCAGCCCCGGCCCCCAACCATCACCAGCCCCCGGCCCCCAACCATCACCAGCCCCCGGCCCCCAACCATCACCAGCCCCGGCCCCCAACCATCCCCAGCTCCCGGCTAATCCCAGCCCGCGGCCCCCAACCAATCCCAGTCCCCGGCTCACAGCCAATCCTAATTCCCCCGCACCCCCACCCCCCCGCCCCCAGCAAGCAGCACCGAGCAGGAGAGGCTGGAGAAGGTGGAACAGAGAGGCTGGGGGGGGGGAGAGGCCGAGTGTGGGGAGGGGAGAGGCCGAGTGTGGGGAGGGGAGAGGCCGAGTGTGGGGAGGGGAGAGGCTGATCATTCACTCCCTCCACACAAACTGCCTCCTTAAGGCAAACAACAACAACAACAACTTGGATTTATATAGCGCCCTCCACGCCAGATGGAGTCTCATAGCTTCACAGTAACGGATCCTGGGGCCGAGCCAGGGGTGGGGGAGGGAGGGGGGGGAGCCAGGGGGAGTGGGGGGGGAGCCAGGGGGAGGGGGGGGAAGGTGACCAATGGCACGGTCGAAGAGAAAGGTCTTGAGACCGGCCTTGAAGGAGGAAAGGGAGGAAGCGACAAAGGCACTGAGGGATGAAGTTCCAGAGCCACGAACGAAGGCAACGGGCACTGTTGTGAGGAGAGAGGAGATCAGAGAGGTCGGGGAGTGCAGAGGAGTGGAGGGATTTGGTCCGGGAACGCAGAGGAGTGGAGGGATTTGAAGACAAGGATGAGGATCATGAAGTCAACTCCCCCCTCCCTCATACATACCCTCCCAAACTCTCCACTCCCACCATTCTCCACAACCATCTCTCCCGTACACCCTAAAATCCTCTCCACATCACTCTCCCCTCTCTCTAGCAAACCCACCCTCCAAAATGTCCATTCCCTTTCTAACAAAGCCCTCACCATCCATGACCTCATCCTAGACGAACTCCTTGGGCTCAACGAAACCTGGCTCTCCCCCAATGACCCCGTCACCCTAGTGGAAGCCTCCCCTCCAGGCTACACCTTCCACCACACCCCCCCGTCCAAACCAGCGGGGTGGCCCTCATCTCCAAAGCCTCCCTTGGTCTCACCCCCTACTCCTCTGGCTGCTTCCCCTCCTTCAAGCACTTCTTCCACCCCTCTCTCCCATTGAAAACCCTCCTTGTCTACTGCCCCCTAAGCCCCCCGGCTCCTTCCACACAAACATCTCTACTCTCCTCTCTTCCCTGTCCCTCTGCTCCGAGCTCCTGCTCATAATGGGAGATTTCAACCTCCACCTAAACTCCCCCTGCACTACATCTGCCGACTTCACTGCGCTCCTCTCCTCCCTAAACCTCACCCTTCATATAAATTCACCCACCCACAACCGTGGTCATGCCCTTGACTTCGTTATCACCCACGGCAATGACATTTCCGATATCAGCATAGTGGATAAAGCCATCTTGGACCACTTTTCATCTCTTTTTCTCACATCCCTCTCTCCTCCACCAAGCCTTCAACCATTCTCTACCACCCGTGGAAAAGGCTACCCCCTGAGACCTTCACAAAGGCCCTCACATCCTCAAACATCCTATCCCTCTGGCCTTCCACCCGCGGAGATCCTGAAGCAGCTGCTCCATGATCACCTCTCCTCCACCTTCAACTCCCTCATCCCCCTGAAATCCAGGACCATCTCCAAACCCACCCGATCCCCCTGGTACAACAATCATCTCCGCCGCCTAAAAACCCAAACCCGGCTGCTCGAGCGCAGATGGTGGAAAACTGGCCTGACAGTCCACCGCCAACTGTGGCTCGAGCATCTCCTCAGCTACCGCTGTTCTTTGACACACGCAAAAACGGCTTCTACTCCAACATCATCCTGGAGGCTAAACACAACCCTAAAATCCTTTTTTCCACCACCCGCTACCAACTCTGTGCCCCTCCTCAGGCCCCTCAATCTTCATATCCAATGCTAAGTGCGAGGAGGTCATGGATTTCTTTTCATCTAAAATTCACAACATCCGCCAGACAGCCTCATCCTCCTGCCCCTTGTCACCCACCCCACCCTCTCTCCATCCCCCTCACTCTCCCCATCAGCAGCTACTACCACAACCCCCATCCTACATTCCTTCCTCCCCATCTCTCCCTCCTCCCTCTCATCCACCATCACCTCCATGAAACCCACCATGAAACCCACCACCTGCCCAAAAACCCTCCCCAGATCCCTCAAACCCCAGCCACTACCGCCCTATTTCTAACCTGCCCTTCCTCGCAAATGTCCTAGAATGCATTGTGGCAAATCAACTCCGCGCACACCTCTCCTCCCACTCCCTCTTCGAGGTCCGGTCCGGTTTCCACCCACAGTACAGAGACTGCGTTTGTGAAAGTCACAAACGACATCCTCTCTATCTGTGACCAGGGCTCCCTCTGCCTCCTTGTCCTCCTGGACCTCTCCACCGCGTTCGACACAGTCGATCACGCCATCCTCCTCCATTGCCTTTCCTCCGTCATCCACCACAGTGGGACCGCACTCGCCTGGTTCGAGCCCTACCTCACAAACCGCCAGCAGTACATCTGCACAAACGGCTTCTCCTCCCACTCTCACCCGGTCACCTGTGGTGTACCCCAAGGATCCATCCTTGGCCCCTCCTCTTTCTGATCTACATGCTCCCTCTTGGGGATGTCATCCGCAGACATGGGGTACACTTCCACATGTACGCGGACGACACCCAACTCTATTTTTCCACCTCTCTTTGTGACCCCCAGTCCCCTGATGTTCTGTCATTTGCCTGTCAGACCTCAGGGGTTGGATGAGCGCAAATTTCTTTCAGCTGAACGTTGACAAGACGGAAGCCATACTCTTTGACTCTCGTCAACGTCTAAAAGGCTCTCCCCTCCTCCACCTGCCCGACCTCCCTCTAAAACTCTCTGAACCCAATTATCCTTCCTCCCCAACATCCAATCCCTCACCAGCACCGCTTTCTTCCACCTCCAACGCATCGCCTGTCTCCACCAATACCTCTCTCCGAAAGCCGCTGAAATCCTGGTCCATGCCTGTCACCTCTTGACAAGACTACTCTAACGCCCTCCTCACCGGTCTCCCATCCACTATCATCCATAAAATCCAGATTATTCAAAACTGCACTGGCTGCCTGTCCCAGAGAGGATCGACTTCAAGATCCTCACCTTTGTCTTCAAGTCCCTGCATTTCTCTGCACCCCCCGACCTCTCTGACCTCCTCTCTCTTCACAACAATACTCGTTGCCTTCGCTCCTCTGGGTCTGGTCTGCTCCTCATCCCCCGAGTCCTCCGCTCCACCCTCGGTGGCCATGACTTCAGCCACTACGCCCCGAGGCTCTGGAACTCCCTTCCTCACTCCCTTCGCCTCATCCCCTCTCTTCCCACTTTCAGGTCTCGGCTGAAGACCTTTCTTTTTGACCGCGCCTTTGGTCACCTTCCTCCCCCTCCCCTTCCCCCCGGCTCGGGTCCGGGATCCGTTACTGTGAAGCTCTGAGATGCCGTCCGGCATGGAGGGCGC